ATATTGTTTATACTGTACGTATATATATTTTCTATATTTTCTACAGATTGGACACTATCTTGGGAGGACTTTCTCTAAAGAAAGAGGAAGTAAGTAGTCGAGCTGTAGTAGACTTTGTATCTGTAAACCAATATTATAAAGTTTATTGAGCGCAATGCTTCACCACATTTCAAGTTTTTATTTTTCCCTCCACCTGCAGTTGATGCCCAGCTGGATGATGTGGGTTTGAGTTTTATGAAGAACTCCATCAGCGCCATAGAGACCAGAGGTGAGCTTCAGATGTGTAAATATGGAAAGGCTCAGTTGAGAGAATTACAAGGTGAATTATTAAACATGAAAAGTGGCAGATGGGTTGCAGGTAACATGGGTGCAGTGTCTATATGTGTACACAAGGGGGCAGACTTGCTCCAATATTGAAACAGAAAGGCTGCCTGGCAGGTACTGCAGGCGGTGTGTACTGTAGATAATACTGATGCCTTTCATTGGGTAGCTCTGAAGTTCTTATTAATTTTCTCCAGTCCTCACATGCTTATCTGACCTCTTTTGCAATCAGAGTCACTTTTGGTCTAGTCATTCTCAACGGGACAAATGTTTCTTTATGCAAGTAGTTATCTATTTCACTGAATTTGGTGCAGATTGCACTGCCAAATTCATGTACCTGCTGCATAGTCTCCACATAAATGTACAGGGTTATTGTGTGTATATAATATTCTGTCCTTATTCTTGTTTGTTTTGTTTGTTCTTTTCCCTGTAAAGCATTTTGCAACGTCATTAAGAAAAGTGCTATACAAATAATGTTTCCTTACTGTTATTACTTATCAGGTATTAATGACCAAGGCCTGTACAGAGTTGTCGGGGTGAGCTCCAAGGTCCAGAAGCTCCTCTCATTAATGATCGGTAAGTTAAAGTCTGTTCTTTTCCTTTTTGCTCTGGAAATGTATTACTGTGCAGAGAATTTCTGGTAGGAGCTGAATAAAGTTAAAATTTTAATTTATATGCTACTGCACTATCTCTGTGATATTAGGTTGCCCCCAGTTAGCAGAATGTGCTGACGTAATGGATGTGTCTGTCGGGGTGATATTAAAAAAGATAGTGATTGACAATCGGCCCATGACTCAGCCTATCAGAGCCTGTCTAAAGTGCAACAAGTGAAGGGGTGTATCTTTGCCTCGCCTCATTTCAGTTTTATATCCCCCAGACAACCAGACAGGGTCCCTCCCATCCACGTCCTTGCACTTTTTGGCTTTTGCTTCATTAACACCCCACTAGTACCGCCTCTTATGTGCTCACGGCTCACTCAGTCCGTCAGTCGCCTTTATGCCTCGCACTTGTCTTGAACCCCTTTCACTCAAGTCCCTTTCTATAGAGCTTGTCCTCTGTCCTTTCCATTGCTCCCCGTCTGCTCTCTGGTTTCCTGCCGTCTCCAGCAGACACCAGCTCACTTTCAGCTCTGTGTTCAGAATGACAACAAACTCAGGCAGCCGCCAGCTTGTCTCAGCTTCCTCTCCAAAACCTTCCAGCCTCGCAACCTGCCGACTCATGCTGTAGACTCCATTAACACTCAGCTGCGGCACTCCGAGAAGTTTCTTTAAAGCCTGGATAGAGTAAAATAAGCGTTTGTCTGTGGGCTTGACATTCCACATGCTGTTGTGAATGAGAGGGAAATATAGATATTACCTGCACGTTAATGTCTGCAAATGTTGGTTTACTGATATTTTCATTTAGATACCTAGAATCTTACTTATACTTTCTACATGCAATGACAGAGGTAGTACTACTTCTACACAAACCAACACATTCACAAACATTTCATGCATACAACAGTTCACAGTGAGTGGGTGAAGCGAGCTTTAAACCCTGAAGAAAGACTTCGGATCCTCCCACTCCTCCTCCTCCTTTTCATCTCTCACCCACCGACATGGCCAGGGTCCAATCAGAGAGGACAGAGTGATAGAAAATGAGTCTCCCATCATATTACAGTACAAACAAAGAGAGCAGCACCTATTGAATGTCAGGCAACAATATAACAGGAAGAAGACTGTAAAAGTGAGCTGCGTTCTGTCTCTGACCTGTCCATCGTACAGCATGTGGCAGGGGAGAGCGTGGTGTTGGTCGGGATATGGCTATCACTGTTGCTGAGTTAGACTTCTTGATTCTATAGATATTATTGCAGAGGGAGGCAAAATTTGAGGAATGCTGTGAGATGTTTCCAAAGCAACAATCAATACATTCCCCATTTTCATGTTCTAAGGCGGAAATGACCATTAATGTATCAAACGCAGGATCATATTGGCCCATTTATTCCAGAGAGCTGACCAGATGCTTAAAAGGTTAATGTTGCAACCTTGCGTTGTGGCTAGTGGGCTCGCCTCTTTGAGTTCAGTTCAGACTGGGTCAGCCAGGGCCCTCTAGACTGGTGGTTTTGAACTTGAGGGTCAGGACTCCCACTAAGGGTCAGGTTATGCTAGAACAAAACTGGTTTGCACAATGTGTTGTCAATCAAATGTATTTGTAGTTTTTCCAAATAGCTGCATGAAGAGGGAGTGAGGGGTGGTCCGTCTTAGAGAGGGGAGAAACTCTTTTTTTTTTTTTATTTTGTAATCTTTATTTCCAACTGTCAACATACATAGTACCAGAAGAAAATGTATCTCAAATAAATTAATTAATCTCCCCCTCTTTAGCACAGGCTGGTTGACATGAAACGCATCACTCTGGTGCAACTGTGCAGGAAAGTCATCACAGACACCTGACGCCAAAATTCTGGTATACTGACAATATACAGAGAGCTTGCCGTAGCGGCAATAGGCTCAATCAGCGTTTGGTAAGAGCTTGAATGTAACGGACGTTCATTTACATATAGAAATCCCACACCCTAGCTTTAAATATAACAGCGTACATTTTCAGAAAGTCCTTTCTGGAAGACATTCATAGTGTTGCACTCTGTTGTTAACATTAAAAAAAGGACAGAAATAGATGTGCAAAGAAGGAGAAAAGAGTGTTAGAGAGAAAAGTTCAAACTCTGGCTCCTTTCTCATCTCCACACTGCTCGACAATCACAGCGCGAGGCGGTCAAAAATATCGGAAAGTTACAATAATGGTCGGACACAGCCCCCCTAATCTGACGTTGGGGGCAAACAGGAAGCTTAAGGGGTCACGAGATGATCAAAAAGATAGAAGAGAAACTAAAAGTGAAAGTGGTCATAACATAGGAAGGGTGCAGCCAAGTAGACGTGACTTCTTCTTAAGGAACAACAAGCCAAAAATGTTGGGAACCACACAAGGCTGTTAAGCAGACACATTTGCTAACTCTCTCCTCCTTTTACCCGTTGGCCTCCACTCTGCATCTTCTCCTTTCTTTCAATTTTGGTACCATTTATCACATATCCATATGTTGCATCGATGACACTGAAAATTTCTACACCTCATTGTTTATTTGGGTTAAGGTCAACACCATAGAATTTAAAAATAGTGGAGATAGCTATGGTGATGTCCCCTATTGGTTTGTGGCCTCCCATTTTAAAGCCTTGAGTTTGGCATTATGGCTGTTGCCATCTTGCTATTTGTGTGACCATATTTTAGCGAGAGGCTGGAGCTGTGGAGGAGTGAGGGGTGCTGGCTGTCTATTGGCAGACAACCTGTCACTCAAAGCGGCCTGTCCGTACTTATACTTGGCTTCATTTTTCAGCCCCAGATGTTGCTGCATGGCCAGTACATGATAATTGGTTAAGGTTATCTCTCATTTTTAAAATATGTGATGGTCAGGACATTTTTTTAAGTTAAAGAGACAGCACACAAAATCAAAAATACACATTTTTCCTCTTACCTGTAGTGTTATATTTAATCCTAGATTCTTTTGGTGTGAGTTGCCAAGTGTTGGAAATATCTGTCGTTGCCTTCTCTTGAATATAATGGAACTAGAAGGCACTCAGCTTGTGGTGCTCAGAGCACACAAAAAAAAACATTTGAAAAACTCAACAGCAATTTACTGGTCTTCCATAATCCACCCCACTGAAGAAAAGACGATTTCAAGAATTCCTTAAGCTAGCTAACATTACAGCTCAGCTGAGGAGGACACCATTAAAGTTTACATCATGCACTGTCACAAGCACAAGCCTCTCGTCTATGGGTAGAGGCATGGTTCCTTCTGCGCTGTGATACGGTTTGCGGGTGTAGGTCAATAGAAAGAAACCACTTCCTACATGAAACTGCTCACAACAAGGTCTGTTGATTGTCTAGGCTTGATTAACCAGGTCATGATTTCTTGAAAGAGACATTGTTGCTGAGTTTCAAATGTATTTTTTGGTGTTTTGAGCACCATAAGCTGAACGCCAGCTAGTTTCATTACATTCAAGAGAAGGCAGACATCTCAGTGGGCGATATCTCCAGCGCTCAAAACAATCTAGACTGATAAACAGCGCTGCAGGTATGAGGAAAAATATGTATTTTTGATCTGTCCCTTTAACAGACCTTGCTTTCATAATGGATGTATATGGCAAAATGTTTTTCTGCATCCCAGGGTATCATGGGAGCTGCAGTTCTAACTTTAGCTACTACGCTACAGTCACCATGCAGTGCGGTTATGTCCCCAAGGGCTTTATGTAGATAACTAAGATAAAATAACAAAGAATTATATATTTGAACTTGCTGCAGCTTTGTGGTCAGCAGTTTCATAATCAATGTTACTTCTACTGCTACTGCCAAAAATATATATTTGTGTCCTTGACCTAACCAAGTCCAAGTCTGTTTGTGCAAGAGCAGACCACAGAGCCTGTGCAGACCCCATCAATCTCAACTCATACATACTCACTGAGGCACAGCTTTGGCTACAAACACTCTTCAAAAGCATTTGCTTTCAGAGGTTGATGTTGGACAGGCCATTTTGTGGACAGAGCAGGCGGAGAAACACACAGTCCTCCTGGCCGCAGTGCTTAGATGAAATCAGAAACATCAATTTCCACGTAACGCAGACCACCTACCTCCCACGAAGCTAAAGTGGCCTGAGCCCTGTACAGTGCATGTGCCTGACTCACAACACTTCACTGACACACTGCACTTCCCCATCCTCTGTAATTCATCAGAGGTTACTTAAGGTGTGACTAAAGCCCCCTGAATTTTCAGCACAACACAGCCCTGGAGTCCCTGTGGAGCCAATGAAGTAGTGAGGGATTAATTAAACTTGTAATGAGTATAGAACCAGCAGCCCTCTACAGAAGCTGTAACTTCCTTCCATATCCACTGGGGCTAGACTCGACCCCCAAGGCTGGTAGCACTGCTTTTATCCTCACATGGCTAATTACAAGTTACATATTTATATTACATATTTTGACTTTCTAGACTCTTTGGCTGCTGAATGCAATAACAATAGTTAGCTGGTGCTTTGTGTTATCTCAGTCAAGGACTTTTCCAGTAAGATTATGATTGTGATTCATTCAGATGAGAAGAGCAACGAAGTGGATCTGTCTACCAATGACGACTGGGATGTTAAGACAATAACAAGTGCACTGAAGCTTTATCTCAGGTAAGAATCAGTGAGATGGAAGACGCACAGACACATAAACTAATGTAAACCATCAGCTGTAAAACAATCAATGAGCCAGTCGATAGAAAATTAATTGGCAACTAATTTTATCGTCAATGAATTGTTTGTGAAAATGACAAGAATATTCACTGTTTCCTGCTTCTCAAATGTGAAGATTTGATTCATTACTTTGTTAAATATGATTGCAAACTAAGTATCTTTGGTTTAAGGACTGTTGGCTAAAAAATAAGGTATGCATCATCTTGAACTGCTTGAAAATACTACTGACATTTTTCAATATTTTTCAACATTTCATGAATAAAACATGCAGAAATGTTAGAAAAAATGGGTCGATTAATCAGTGATGGAACAATCCTTACTTGCAGCTCAAAAACCATCAGCTTCTACCACGGATGTATTAAGAGACCTGGATACAGCATTTGCGCTAGCGCACTGTTAATGCCTATATAATTGGTACATGAAACCAAAATCTCTCTACTGTATGTCCATGGTTTGAAATTACCCGGATGATGAGCACTGCCTTCACATCATCAGGCCCATAGAGCCTGCGCACTTGAGACTTACGGCCACCTAGCAAGGCCTAGCGCAGCTGAGTGGTCAACTTCCACCTGCCAAACGGTTGACTTCCAGTTTAGCACTCGACTAACTTGAATAGGGATAAAATAATTTAATCTTATGGCTCTTTTAGACTTTATAAATATTATCAGACTGAATGGATTCAATTAATTGATAGTGGAAGGAGTCATTTCACGAATGGTTGTGATGCTCAGAAAAAATCATCCACTGATTTTTAGACGTCTCTTTCCCAATGTAAGTCTATGGGAAAAAGCCTTTGTTGGACCAGTGGCATCATGTGACGAACCTCGGAAATTGCAATACCACTTTTTGACCACTTTGAAAATTGGCTTCAAAGCCTTGGGCACCTCCTAGGGGGCCTGGTTTCTACCCAGTAAGCATTGATGATGTTGCTAATACGCTAATAATCTCTTTTGATTACTTAAAATCTTACTGTCACTTACAACAAAACTATTTGGTTAAACCTCCTTTCTGAGTAATGTGACCCCTGAACTAGGTCGAGGCAATATTTCAGTATCAAATCATGATATGAGACTAGATATCTTAATAGATATCATAATATCCTCAGTGTCGTCTTTCCCTGGTTTTAAAGGCTTCATTACAATAAAGTGATGTAATATTCTGAACTTTCCAGACACCAATAGTCAACCCTACAACATCGATATCAAAGTATTTGGTCAAAAATATTGTGATCTCCATATCACCCAGCCATACCCTGAACACACTGGAGATGCAAGTTCAGTTGTCCTTGTATTGACACATTCAAACGGAGGATGTGACATAACTTGACGAGTCCAGAAACACCTGAATCTGGATTGATCATTTCTGAATCATAAATCACCAAACTGTATTATTCAGAGCTGCCATGTGTCTAAGCAAATCCTTCTCTGACCTGAGAGAACCCCAGTGGTTAATGCAACATTTTCTTTCTCTCTTTTGATGAATACGATCGAGCCTCTGTTCACTTGCATGTGAAACATTGAATCCATTGTTGTCTCTGTCTTTTATAAAAACGAGTTAATTATGCAAAGTGCCTTTGCATAATTAACTCCTTGAGAGGTCACATTGCTTACTGTATGCCTGTTCCACATTCACCAACTCCTTCCTGGTTGACAGATAGTGTGGGTGAAGTTCAAAGATTAAAAATGTAGCAGGGTTGCAAGAAGCTGAGGCAGTTTTTATTTGAATGCCAATTTGTTTTTGTAAACATGTGCGGTTAGCAATAAATTGAGTTGGCTTTGCTGATTTAAATGAAAGCAAAGTTGTGTACTCTGAGTTTGGACTTTGCCTGTTGTCCTTACCAAGAAATACTCACAAGAAACTGATATTTAGATATTTAAACAATTAAATGTCAAATTGAAAAAGCAAAATATTAATTATGATCAAACTGTTGTCAGCTACTTATTCAGTCATTGATAACAGTTTAATTGACAGTGATAGTTCTGTTTAATTTCCCCTTTTATTTTCACTTCTATTAATTAAAAGGCGGGTCCATCTGTGTTCTTTTCTGTGTTTTTCAAGTGGAAACTCCCGCTCAAAATATGGTGACATAGGTTACAGAGCAGATTTTGCTGATAGTGTAAGCACAGAGAGTCAGAAGAGAGTTAGCTTGGATGATTTAAGCTTTGAAGTGGAACACGGTGCTATTAAACCTTTATGTAACCAGGTAAAGACAAACAGAGATTCAATGTGAAACTGCATTTGTACTGTATAAACACATTAATAGATCACCAGTTAGTGTACCTACATTTAGATGGTGGTCAGTACGCTCCCAGTTTGGAGAAGCAGACGGGAGTACTGGGGCATAAAAGCAAAACAGTGTAGCCTACTGCCATGTACGCCACGTTAATGCAGCCCTGACAATCACACAATAACACAAGCAACCTAACCGATCAGCTGCAGTGATAACTAGTAACTTAGTGTGGTCTGCAAAGTAAAATTACTGTTATCAAAGGAGTCTGGTGGGTGTGTACAGGAGCAGCAGTAAAACACATTTTATCCTGCTGAAAGAAGGACCACCTCAGCGAAATCAACATCAGTTTAAGTGTACGCTATCTTAACGTTATTTTAAGGCTGCACCTTGCTGTCAGACAGCCCTTTCCAACAAAGAACTGAAGCTGTTATCTCTGCTCTCTTCAGAGTCACCAGACTCCTTTGACAGAAACAGTAATTTTACCTCAGCACACAGGAAGCTGGTGGTCTATTGCCAACGTGATCGGTTAGTTTGTTTGTTATTGTATGACTTTTGGAACTGAACTAACTTTGGTTTATATGTAGGGCAACTTCGTGCACAAACCTACGTCAGGTCCGTGGCAAAAAAAGATTTTAGAAGGGGCCTGGGGTAATAGCATTTTGAGACTGAAACATACATACTTAGACCAAAATTTGAACTGTCAGATTTGAATACATCAGGGACACGACTGGAAGGCTTTCAGAATGACATAAAAATCTAAATAAATAAATACATAGAATAAGAATAAGATACGATACGATACAATACAATACAATACAATACAATAGAGGCGCCCTTTAATGTGCCACAATGAAATCTTTAAAGTGGTTTTTCATGTAATTTTAAGTGTTCACTACAGCATATGAGTTAGACTATTACCCATCAAGTATTCTGATCAGGATGTAAATGACAAGGCTAACATTGTGTTGTGATGGGCTGATTTTAAGCTTTAACCTTTTCAAGGAAGCAGTTTGTAACAGTTTGTGGGCTGTGGGACCAATAACCTTCTCTCATTTCAACTCCCAGCGTAAAGGAGAGCCTCGCTGTGTTTTGTCAGGCAACCCTCACCACAACATTTAGTCATTTTTAAACGCTGTTTAAGCTAACACAGCATATCCATATTGTTATGCTATATTAAACCATGCTGAGTGTTGCTCTGACTTGTCTTTTACTTTGTGTCTGGCCTGCTGGAATAAAGCAGGGTCAATCTCCTCAGTTTCCTCTGAGGCTAAGTACCTTTGGCCGCTGGCCAGCTGCAGTGTGAAAGTACCTTCAGATGAACTTGGTTATCTCAACGTGTGCACCATCTAATTCCATCCCCTGGCCCGGCCACATTAATCATTGCTGTGTGCAGACCCTATAAAACAGTGTGCCGGCTATTTCTGTCCCCCCCCTCGCTCACTTCAACTCTCTGCCTCTAACCCCCCCCCACCCTTCTCTCTTTCTCTCACTATCTCTGTGAAGGAGCCTTCCTGAGCCGTTGATGACCTATGGACTTTACAAAGAGTTTATTAGCCCTGCGAGTAAGTTTGATCACCTCTTCTACCACCACTTAATCTGAGTAAAGACTATAATCAAACAACAGTGTACACATGTGTTGTATCAGTCTGACATGGACATCACTTCAGGCTCTGGGGTCCAATGGTTTGTTCTCCTTTGGTGAGTTATTGAAAACATGCAGTCAAGTGAAAAACAGTGAAATTACTTTTATTAACTCTTGGGAACCTTTTTACTAATTCTTTTAAGTGGCTAATAGTGGTCAGTCCTCTTAAGTAAAGTGTTCATAGTCTGAAAGCTATTGGTCTGTGTATGCCCTGAATGCTGATGAGGATGCATCCACAGCTGTCCTCATCCTTAGACTTTTAAAACACTTGACAAGGGTCTCAACGTTTAACGCTCTACTTTTATGTCCTCTTACTTACATTCAGAAATTTGCACTTCTATATATGAGGACACTCTTGTCTTGTGTTTTAATATCTATTGCCGACTGCCAGTGAATACAGTCTTCCCACTCCGGTGGCCCAAAAAACCTTTGAGCCGACTTTGGCTTAGACATACATTTTTGACATTTCAGCCTGTTTTACAACACTGTGTTTCTGACATTTATTAGCCATTCAAGAATCCCATGTGAGCTTACTGCCCATCTCCATCTAATTTCCACCTGTTTTAACTTGCTACTAAAAATGTGTGGCCAAATAAGCCATTAAAGGTTAAAGCTAAAAGGTTTTAAATGATAAATATGCTGTAATTTGCATGCCCTCTAAGGGTCCGGTGAGTGACCTTGAACAGCAGAAAGACATGTTTTTTTTTTTTGTTTTTTTTTTTATTCGCCCACATAACATCATTTATGTGGGGAATGTTTTTAAAGCAAGCCAAACTTGAATCTTATTACAACAAGTGCTATAATTGGATCAGGTTGACATTTTTATCAGGCGCTCGCAATGCCCTCATAACGAGGGGGAAAAAATGGATTAGCAACGAATATTTTTTTGATGGATGACAGCATCCATAAGCAGCTTTTTTCCATGTTTAAATCCTTGTCGTTCCCATAGTAATGATATTTTGTGTGTCTGTGTATGTGTGTGTGTGTGTGTGTGTCGGTGTGTGGGCGGTCAGATGCCCATGTGTGAGGAAATGTTTAAGAGATGATCTTGGGGGGTTTTAACACAACCCTTTTATACGGTAGCGACAGTAACGTAAAGCTATCTCCTTCGCCAGCATAGTGGGCCCTGCTGCCAAATTCTGGGAGGCTTCAAACCATATATCACTTTCACACCTCTTCTTCACTTATTTAAACTGGGATGTATCATCCTCCAGTCTTTATACTTGAGGGGTATAGCCTCCGATCATTGTGTCCTTAAAGGTCCGCTGACTTTTGCTCCATTATTAGTTTTCCAGAATGTATCCAAATTGTGTTTTAGGACTTTTAAAGCAGAAGAGGGTTTATTTCTTCCACAAAGTGACTTTTATTTGGTGTCTGTACTTTATAAACTCTGATTGTGAACTGCTCAGATCAAACTGTATGTAGTGTATCATCATCTCTTTAAATTTGCTGCCTGCTAATGTTGTACAGTATTCGATCACAGCTGTGTTGGCTCTTTGCCACCTGAGGAACACAGAGAAAACCTTGTAGTTTAATGCCGGTGCATGGCTGCTTCTGTGTTTGAACAGAGGGCGGTAGTCCAGAGTCTCGCATCCAAGCCGTCCACTGCCTGGTCCACAAACTACCGGAGAGGAATCGACAAGTCCTCGGGCTGCTCATGAAGCATCTGGCCAAGTGAGTCTTCATAGTTACTTGGTCATAGTTCACCCAATCTCCACCCCCTCTCTCTCTCAGTTCTCTCTTTCTGCTCTTCCTGTCTGTCTCCTCATTCTCACTCCACATGCTTTTTTCTCTCTCTCTCCCTCACTCCCACGTTCTTCACTCCCCCTTCCCTGCTGTCACTCTATCTCCTCTCTGTCTACTCAGTGACTGCTGGGTAAGAAAATTGATGCTGCTAGCATCTTAACATTTTTTTTGGAAGGGGGGGGGGGGCTTTTCATAGGTCATTTTAGGAAGAATTGTGTAGCCTGCCATACCTGTTCAGCATGCTGTTGTGCAGCCCACCAGTGAAGTGAAATGAAATGGACCTCTCAAATTAAGCCCTCTCTTGAGATTACTCTATACACCCCTGGATAGACCACTATTGTGCATCACTCCATTTGTGAGATTAGATAGGAAGAAAGATTTAAGAAATAATGTTAGCTAACATTACAAGGTTTTACCTCAGCAAGCTTTTTATAAACTAAATATGAGCAAATTGAAGATAAGTAAATAATCCCTCTTCCCTGAGGCAGTGAAAGTCTGGTGGATCTTATTTCATAGAAACCCGCTGCAGAATCAGGCTCTGGTAAAAAGGCAGCGCTATTGAAATTGAATTTGGATTATCCAGCGTGAAATTCTCCAGACTGGAGAGACTCGAATATTTTTCTGAAGTTGGCGTGTGTGCATGTCCTGCAGGGGAAGGAAGCAAAGCCAGAATTTCACACTCCTATCTGAAATGGTTTCAGAGATGTTATAAATGTGAGTTGTCACCAATGTTTTTGTCTTCAAAGGCATCCTTTGAAGCTATTTAAACTGTCTCTCTGCAGATGCACTGCATATCATCATATTTTGAGTGTGAAATCTCTTCACCTGTCCGTATAACTTTTTTTTTCCCAAATTGAGTTTTTTTTTCCTCCACTTTTTTTGACCTCTGAAGATAAAGTTTCATCTGCTGAAGGTGTTTCATCTGCTGAATAAAACTTATCATTCCCCCATATCGAATGTCATTACCGTGTTGTTAAAATAACCAGAATAGCCACAGCCAGAAGTATTCATAGTTGTTGCTGGAATTGATAAGGAAAGCCTTATCAGTCGCATGTATGCAACTTCAAAAATCTAGATGCACAAATCTCTCATTTTTGATTTAATGTTATATTCAGTGCAGAGAACTATAAATGCCAAACTGTACATGCAGGACAACTTAATGTTTGGACTGAAGGGTATTGGCAAGGATTTGCTACAGCTTACTGTTGTTGGCAAAAAATGTAAATGTCAGAAGATGTGCTAAAATCCCCCATTTTTAGTTGTCATTTTATCTCAGAATGCAGTGGCTGCTTTATGTATTCGCAGGTTTCAGGGCATCTGTGACAAAATTTTGGATCATCAAGAAAAACAAGAAAACTAAGAAGTGATACACCGACTCAAAAAGATCAAGAAAGGGTTTAAAGTGATCCCTAAAGATACCAACATCTCATTGTATGCTTGCTCATTGAGGAATTATGTATTATAGGAAGAAACAATACATACTTGAGGGTTTCCTGCAGTGCTTTTTAGCAGAAGTGGGCCACCTTGCCTAAAACAAAGACCACCTCTCTTTTAACGCCATAGAAAACAATTACAATTTTATGAAATTCAACATTGACATTTCAAAAACAAGAGCAGAGGGGCAATTTTACACAGCAAATGTGTAATATGTAATGAGTGTGGCTGTTGTTTAGGCTGCAATCTACCAACTTGATCAGACGTCTTTCAACATTTTTCAGGCCCCTTAGTTAAAAGAGAGACAGAGCAGGGACTCCTTACTACATATTTTGTATATAATTGAGTTGCAGTTGAAATAATACTCACCCTTTGCAGTTTCACCGGCGGTTTCTGAGGTGGACACTATGTCATAGTTTCTTGCTGGTAAAGTTGCATAACCAGCCGTCGTGGGTCACAAGAATGTTGGTACACTTGGAAGAACAATACAGCTATTTATCCAATATGTGAAGAAAAATGGGTGCGGCGCAGTGATTTATCATATGCTAGCTCACATGATTGCACAATTATTCATGGGTAACAGTGTGCCTATCATTAATGTTTTGTGCTGTAAATTAAATTAGATTCATAAAAAGGCCAATATATCTTTGCTAATAATTTGTTGGCTTTATAATAATGTGTATTTTCAGACACATTTTAATTGAATAAAGAATAAGATTAAAACCAAGCAATAATTTGGCAGCCCTCCTTTCGAACTTTAAGGACTGCCCAGGGGTTGCGGACCAGCCATTGAAGACCCAGGAACTAGACTGATCATGAGACCAGAAGCTGCAAGACCTCTTTAAACAGTTTGCATGGGGAAAACCTGTACTGTGTGTCAAGGGTGTTTTTAAGGCAGCAGGCGAGCCATACTTGACATTTATTTGCCCATATACTTAACTTTTATTTTCATTTTCTAAAACCTTTTTTTTAAGTAGCAACTCATTACAGTTATAGTACAATTTTGCCCTGTTTCTTTGTTCATATTTAATCTATCCCTTTTTCTATCAAGTGTTCAATGGTTTGTCACTTTAATATGGTTTTATTCTATCCTAAGATGAGTTAGTGAGTTGGATTGAAACATATTTAATGCGAGTTGTTATCTTCCTCAGTGTGGCGGCTCACAGTAAACAGAATCTGATGACTGTGGCCAACCTGGGCGTGGTGTTTGGCCCCACATTAATGAGGCCACAGGAGGAGACTGTCGCTGCCATCATGGATCTCAAGTTCCAGAACATTGTGGTGGAGATCCTCATTGAACACCACGAAAAGGTAACACTCAATACCTGGATTTGCCAGACACACAGTGCAGTATTGACTGTATTATCACAAAGTAATACACATAAAACTGAACTCCAGGAGACGGGAAGTGTCTACTCATAGCAGTGTATCCTGCAGTGGAAGTAATTAGTTCCATATATGTAAGAATAGAGAAAAAGTCTTGTGTTATGTTTTATTTTCTTTCAAAATGTCTCTTTTTTGATGCTTTACTGCTCTGACTGCACATCAATGATCCAGTCTGTCTGTGCAACATTTTGTGTGTAATTGGGTTTCCACTTGCCATCCAGAACTGCATTTATTAAAAGCGAGGCACCCCAGGCAACACGAGGCACAATGACAACACCAAATCAAATCTGAATCAGGTGACATGACATCAGTAAGCAGCACACAGCACCTTTGTGTTTATCTACCTGGGTGGCGTGTAATTACTTGATACCCAAGGATAATAATGTGCGAGCGAAGCAAAAGATCTAATGTTTGGAAGTCCTGGTCTCTTGGCACTGAGCGCTTTCTTACTATTGTTTGCAAGGTTTTTTTTTTTTCTCTTAAGTTTCGATTTGGCAGTTTCTGTTGGCAGAGAAGTGCACATACTTTACTGTACCTGACACCAGAATTTCATTTGGGTAGAGTCTCAATTAGGGTGGATGTGAAGCTCTTCTCAGCTGTGTTTCCTGTTTGTTAAGGCTGTTTAAACTCGTACAAAGTCACATAAAAATCTTACCAGATCCACCTTAGATTCAGCCTCTTTAAGCAAATGTTCCAGCAATGAAAATGCATCATATTAAATAATGGGTCCTTACTGGGCTGTCTGTCGTATCACATTTATTGCTCGCTCTACAAAATAATGAGCAGAAATAAAGTTCTCAGATAATGAGACTTGTACCACATTTAACTTGAACCCTTAGGACAGTGCACCCCTTCACCCAGTTGTTAAGGTGCAGAGGAGCTAGACAGCAGTTTAATATCCAGTCTTTTATATGGCCAATAGGGGGAGCCCTAAGTGCTCCAACCAGGATTGAACACATTGCATTCTGTTCATTTTCAAAAGGCTGATTATTCTGTAGATTTATCATATACGTTTTATTATATTTGGAAGGTCCTTTGCCTGCCTAAATGAATGTATTTTGCATATGAGTTGTTTCATAACCTGCAGTTCACGGGATCATGTAATCTCCCCAGAATGTCATTAATCGGTGTCAATCCTCAAAGGGGGATAATTGTCCGTGTCAAAAGAGAAAAAGGTTTTGAGATTAGTTTTCTAATCTGTTTTGAGCAGCACTGCACTCTACATAGAATCAGATGAAACCAGGAGCTTTTAGTTTTTTATTTTTATTTATTTATTTTTTATCCTTAAGCTTCATTAGATTGAAGATGATGGGCGTTGTGTGAATAATAGCTCCACCCAAGCTCACAAATCTAAAATGGGGTGTGAAAGAATACAGAGGTCTGGTGAAAACCAGCGGGGTATACAAATGTGCAAAAACAACACCAGCAACACAGTGTACACTGCTAGTCGCTGAGACTACCCAGAGGTATCCAACACCGTCCAGGTGATAAAGGATGTAGTGTTAGAATGCAGCAAGAGCATTTTGGAAAGTACAGCGTGTTAGAGCAGGGGAAAAGTTGAGCAGACAGACAGACAGGCATTAACTTCCCTCACAGCTTAGTCCCACTCCAGACTGTTGATACCCCCAGATACCAACAGTAGACTCTGTTTTACATTCACCTCCATCTGCAGAGAGAGGCGAGAGGGAGAGAGGGAGGCAGCAGAAACTCTCAGCCATATCAGATTTCTCACTTTTTCTATCTGCCTTTCTCCTACAAACTTTCTCTCTCATGCCCCCTCCTCCCTGTCTGCCTCTCTCGTTCACACTCTGTCTCACTTTCTCTGCCACTTTCTCTCTCTCTCCTCCCTTCCCTACCTCCCTCCTCTCCTCGTCTGTGATCCTTTCTGCGGCTCTGCTGAGACTTCCTCTCCTCTGCAGCCCTATTCTCTTTTAACTCCACATCTGAAGTTTATATGTAAACACGGCCCGGTGTAAACAGGCTGCGCCAGTTGGCCAGCCCTCCTCGAGCCCAAGTCCTGTTTATTTTACTCTCCACTCTTTCAGAGAGTGGGTCAATTTCTCTGAGGAGAAATGTCACCTTAACTCAGACCCAGATTTCTGGACGGGATGTGATTGCGTTGCATGTGGAGCCGCTCTTGTTTATTTTGGCACAAACAAAATCTTCTCACATGCAGTTTTTAGGGTCCAATCAATGAGCTGCTCGGCTCTCCCTAGGAGCACATGCTGTGGCTGCAAATGGCCTTTTCCATTCATCTACCACTACATAGGGCTTCCGAGTTTCAAAACCCGTTCACTAAGTGAGGTCAGTTGAGGACATGCTGCTGCTGCTGCTTCTACTACTGCTGCTGCTCGACACTCTGAGTATCTGCACTGTATGTTTAGGCTTGGTTGAGACTTACTGTATTCACATTGTGCATTCAGATCTTTGCAGATGCTCCGGAGTCATGCCCTCTTTCACCTGCTGCCCCAGTATTCTCTGCTCCCACAAGGCAGTCCAAGAAGCTGAGTCGACAGAATCGGCCTCTGGCTGTCTACAATCCACAAGCCCTAGACATTCAGAATGGTAAGAGACATACACGTGTGCACCTGCATATTTTCACACCTCTAGATATCTTAAAGGAACTCAACCAGGCAAAAGACTTATAAGATCAGTCTAAGATTGTTGTATGATCATTATACAAATGTACAAAACAAATTAGGATGATTATATAAACCTTAGTAATAAGCCTCTTTAGATGTAAACTACCTTCGTAATCCAGAGAGTATGCAACTCACATATTCATTTCATCATTTACGGAGCCCAACATGTATCAGGGTTAAATTTGTGTAATCATTTGTGTGCGCTAATTAGTAATTCATGTTCTTAAATAACTTGCTTGCCCGAACTTGTAATATCTGTTTTTGAAATAATAGTGCACACAAATGAACAGATCATAAACAACCTGTTTCCCTGTTAAAAAAAAAGGGGGGGGGGGATAAATATTAAAGATTAGATTTGTTATCCATATGTATGCTAGCCTGATGGTCAGCCATTTTGTTTTGCGTCATCATTTCATCCCAACTTTGTGTTCCTGTTAGCCACATCTTGTCGGAAAAGGGGGGATTTGTTTCGTTTTGCTTTAAGCAATCAGCAAGTGACATATCCATTTAACCATTGTCATTTTCAGTCCATACGGAAGCTGCAGTTAGAATTGCTGCAAGTATTTTGCTTAACTCTTTTTTTCTTACAGAGATAAAAGAAATCTGTGGCTTTGTTAGTTTTTTATATCTGTAAGTCCATGCTATTTTCCTGCAAGATGTAGCTGCAGAGTTAAGAAGCTAGCAAGCAAATTGTGTTAAACAAAGCATGTTTTCATGTTTTCTGTACAGCAACGTTAATATAGCTAACACTAATGGAAATTAGTGCCAATTAAAATACATTTCTAGCCAAAAGACAGACATGATAGTTATGTTACATAACTTGCTAACGCGCAATACGTGTACCTTGTGTTTAGAGAATGCGGAAAATTCAAATCTCACCTGGAAGGAAACATTTATGATTTTAGTCGCATGTAGAAAATGGGGTAGCCTCTTGTGGCCAGAGTGAGTATTACAACAGCAAACACTCGAAAAAATCACCTAACAATACTTTTTCACAGGTGAAAAAAAAGCATCAAGGAACGTAGAAAGATTATTCTGGCAAAACTTTTCATTACGCCCATTCTAAGTTAATAAGCGGAGGTGAGAAAACAATTCAGATTAATTTAGAAAATGGATCACCAGAGGTTTCTATTTCTCACTCGCCTCTCAGGGCTTTCATACTCAAAGTATATCGAAGCACAAATTTAGGGTAAATCAGGGATATGAATTGGCAATCTGCATTAACAAGTTTTGAAGTTTAGATCACAACTAAGGAGTTTTTGTGCGCTGATTAACAAAACACACTCAGTTGCCAGTTTTATTAGGTACACTTCATTTGTATCAATGAGAGGGTGCTAAATAACAAACACCTCTCTGTATAACACAAGACAGTTCACAGCACCCCAAACTGCATCTTCCAAGATGATCATAAATTTGAATCAACACCTCTCTAACAAAGTTTTAAAAGACTGAACATTATAACCTCATAAAGGTTGGATTGGCTGCATGGCTGCTGCATTAGACTGCATTAGTGTAGTTTTAGCTAGTTGTACCTAATAAACTGGCAACTGAGTGAACCCTTGATTCCTGCTGGGCTCACTCACTCAGTCACTCACTGAGGATAAGCTTGTCTGTTCCCTAGTGACCACTTTGAACCATAGCAGTGTCTACAGATGACACATTGAACTCAGTCACCTCATCTCTGTGTTACTATGTGGAGAGATTTGCATCTCTGACTTTGTGTGCCCTTGTTTTTTTGTTTTTCTATAAAATGCCTAAAATAAACTTTAGTTTCCTCTGATGAAACGGGGGGGGGGGGGGGGGGGGGGGGGGGGGGGGTCATGATGGGGGCCTTCTCCTGTGCATCAGATGAGCTGATCACAGGACCTTGTGACCCCAAACGATCTAACTTTAGCAATTTCTGATCCAGGGCCAGTCAAATCCCTTCCCCGCCATTACAAAAGGAATCCAAATCTGCTTACCAGATTGCCTCTCTTTACCTCCCTCATGGCAGCTTTTAGCATGGGGTAGTTTAATATCAGGGATGAAAGGCATAATCCTTTTTTAACCTTTGTGTCTTTTATATGAGTCCTACATAATGGTTTTAAACTTTGTTGTCTCCGCGTTCAGCGGGTAAAAGCAAATTTTAAAATGATGAAATAGGCTAGAGAAGAGTGTTTATGTGCACCTGTGGGTCTACCTGTGATGCTGCATGTGTCTAATGTACCTGCAGACAAGACAACATACCATGCATTAATTGGAGTTTGTTTTAGGGAGCCTTACAGTAAGTACAGTGTAGGAGAACAATGCAGACCAATTATGACTTTTAGTTAAGGTTTTCAGAACAGTTGTTTATTTGTTATGGGTTTGCTTGAACCTGCAATATCTGGTTTTTGTTTTTGGCTAATTGGGTGCAGCAGAAACAAGAACACACTTATAAGTTGATATGGCGAGCTTGTTGGCAAATAGTAGCTAATTCACACATTCAGCATTTATGGGTCAACATTATTATTCATTTGTAGTCATGTTTCTGGCTCTGTTTGTGGTCTCTACCAACTTCTGAGAGTAATATCTGGCTCTTCAGTTGCATTCTCCACCGTGTTCACCAGCTAGTCATCTGTCTGCTCTTTGGTGTTGAGCAGGTAGTGAACACAGGGGATTTTTAGAGCGTTGTCACTGAACAGTTGCTAGCTGCAGCCAAAAAAAATGCTATGAGAGCGGTGAGAATGAACCAAGCTGGACAGATAACAATGAGCTAAAAGTCACTATAAAGCTTAATGCTGAGGGGAGCTTTAGATTTGGGTGATAGTTTTCTGTAGTTTCATCACTATAAGCAACCCGTTTCACTATGTGTTCACATTGTTATTAGCTACGTTTTTATTATATAACTATCAAGAAAAAGATGTGACATTTCCGGCAAGAGCTACAGTACAAAGTCCCCGACAAAAGGACATAAAACCAAGAAATTCACAGAGCAAAGTGAAATACAGACATTAAAGCTGTTAATGTCTTTCTCATCTCATGTTACATCTGTAAATATTCCATGTTAAATGATTATTAAAGGGACCGTTCACCCCCAAATAAAATTGTTTTCCCTCTCACCTGTGGTGCTGTTTATCAGTCGAGATAGTTTTGGTGGTAATTACATAGTGTTGGAGATATCGTCTGTAGAGATGTCTGCCTGCTCTTGCATATCGTCATTAATGTTTCCATCTCGCACTGTCACAAGCAGGAGACTCTTGTCCTTGAGTAGATGCTATTTCTGTGCAGTCATATGGTTGGCGGTTGTAGTTTGGCAGAAAGAAACGAGTTCCTATATGAAATTGCTCACAACAAGGTCTGTGGATTATCTTGAGTGCATCTAGTTCCATTATATTCAAGAGAAGGTAGACATCTCTATGGCTGTTATCTCCAACACCCAGCTGACAAATGGCACTACAGGTAAGAGGAAAATTATGTAGAAGTAAATGAATGAGTTTAATTCCATTAGGGTTGATATTACAGGGTAAACAAAACACAACAAGCGAATTATACAATACATAAGACCAGTGATGTCGTGGTTGCATACATGGTCCACCCAGAATGTAAAAATACTGTGATTAGATATGGTAATGATTAGGCCATAAGCTCAGCACCAGTTCAGTTTTACTTTGATATGTGTTTGCTGGAAAAAAAGGAGAAATGGTCCAAACAAACTATATATTTTTTTAACATTAACAGCAGTTGCTTCCGTGCCTCTCCCATCTCCCAAAAGCAGGATCTTTACTTGACAGTAAAATTGAAATAAAAGAGCTTGGATCTCCCCAGTGTTTCTTAGGTTCCTGTCTATGACTGCAGAAGTGTATTATTATGAACAATACAAACTTGGTTGTAAGTCTCGCCTGTTTTGACAGCAGTTTGATTCATAAAATCCCCTGTTGATGCAGCATTGCCTTATCTATTGATAAATTATTCAGCTGTTTTATCAGGCAAGCTATCATCAGTACGCTGGAATAGGCTGAATCTCCTACTGTAGAATAAACTTAATCAAATGATGTAAGTAATTAAAACAAATGCTTTTTTTTGTTTGTTTGTTTGCTTTCTTCTAAGTGTCAGCAGTGGGAGATAGTTCCAGTCTAGCTACAGATGAGACGTCGATGGGCAGCAATGAGTCTGTATCATCCCAGTCATCGTCAGCCTCGGCTTCAGAGGTGCCAACAGAGAAGAGCGAGCATGTCCCACTTAGTGCCACCCTCAGCTCAGGCAGCAACTCCAGGTGAGTGGTTCGCTATTGAAGTCCTAGATCAATATGTGACTGTGCAACTATTGATTGTGAGGAGAGTAGAGCCATGAATGAATCGGTATGGTTTAGATTCATGGATTGCAAATGGAACGGAAATATTGGAATTTAATATTTTCACAGTATCCACAGTTAAAGATATACTATGCAGGATTTTCCTAACAAAATGTATAGACTCATACAGAAGTTATCCCTCTCAGTCATCACTTATGACAAGGGTTGGGTTTCGTTTGGGTTTTTTCTGACACCAGTGCTTAAACAATACTTTTAAAATGGTACCGGTGCCTGAACTGATACTTGTTTTCAAAATGAAGTGCAAAACAAAGGTCAATGATGTGAAAGAATGACTATTTTTTACTGCAAAGGCAGATATGAACTTGAAATTGAACAATTTATTACCTCTCAACAGTTGAAAGTATGCTAAAATATATAAATATGAATGAATATAAACACTTTTCACAAATTCACATGACACATTCACATAATACACCTAAAAACCTAACCCAACTACAATAATTTGACACTAATTAACCATTACAGTTATTCATTCATTTATTTTCCGTATCCATTTATTTTGTTGGGGGTCATTGGGGGTCTGGAGCCTATCCCAGCTGACCAGGCCGGGAGGCAGGGTACACCCTGGACAGGTCACCAGACTATCACAGGGCTGACACATAGAGACAACTAATCACGCTCACATTCACACCTACGGGCAATTTAGAGTCGCCAATTAACCTGCATGTCTTTGGACTGTGGGAGGAAGCTGGAGTACCTGGAGAAAACCCAGACTGACACAGGGAAAACATGAAAACTCCGCACAGAAGGCCTCCCCCACCCAATTGTTGAACCAGGAACCCTCTTGCTGTGAGCTGACAAGGCTAACCACTGCACCACCATACCGCCTATCTGCCACAGTACTAATAACAGCAAAATAAATTCTGAGTTGTGGTCCAGATTTGTCTCACTTACTCAGGAGAGACTCAGCAGCCAGACATTTCTCCATTATCTGTTTATGAGCAGCTGATATTGTCACCGCAGCGAGAATAGCTGGTCCACCTTAACAGTCCACCTCAAGTAAGTTTGGTCAGGTTCCAATGGGAGCTAACCTCTCGTTAACTTCGGGGCTAATCCCATTCACTTTAATCAGCAGGTGGCAAGACACAAGGAACTTGGCTTGAGTCTTGAGGAGTTATAGCATTTATTCACTGACAAACTGCACACACTTCTCATTCATGTATTTAACCTCATAGTATCTGCTTTAGTTGCTGCAGCGTCACTATTAAGCATCACTCTCACACACACGCACTCTCTCCTTCTGTCTCGCCACACACTTGCCACGCACACAATCTGGAACCGAAATGAGGCACCAAAATCTGCGGTGTGATTCAGTCAGGTCGGTTCTGGTTGTATAGGTTTCAGTACCTAACCCTACTTGTGACTCACTAAAAGTGTGCGACTCTGCCCTCTTTTATGTGCTTGAAACATTCATGGGCGTATACCCCTGCACTCAGGCGAGGTCAAGGCTGTATAAAAAGTTAGCGACTAGGTGCCAGACCATGAGCAGCAGGCATCCAAGAGACACAGTGCTGCATATATGCAAATCAAGCAAGACAAAACACAAAACAAGAGTGAATCTGAAGTTTTTAGCTTTTGCTGATGAGCAGACAGTAACTAGCAATCCTGCATAGTGTACCTTTAATGTTGTTTAGAGGCTAAATTACTGCTTTGTGTTTAGAGTCCTTTAACTCCATCAAATCATTGATATCACACTGACATGCATGGTCACTAGTGTTTCATCCGAGCATGTTGTAATTAGCTGGTTTTTAGCCTGATAATCAGACATTTCATTTCAATTCATTCATTCGCTACGTGAGTCACTGAACATATTGAAGATGTGGGCGGAGGCTCATAGGTTTGGAACTAAGCTACACACAGCTGTGACTTCAAGCAAGAGCACTTTCACTACACAGGCAAACTACAACTGCAGTATGAAGCCATTTCTTTATTGTGGGGATCGTTAGTTTTTATGTGGTTGCATTCTGTGATGGCATAATTATCGTTATTGTGATTATATGAGTGACAGTAGTAATGCTCAGAGTGTTATTGGCAATCTAATTTGTGTTAGGAGGGAATTTGATTGAGATTTTTGGTAACTTTAATGATGACCTGAACTGCTAGTTAGTTCGTTATGTTTCCTGTTGCAGCAGAATAAAACGTTGAGTAAATTCTCCCCACAATAACAATCAGCACACACGAAAAAGAGCCTGAAAATAGTCTCTCTTAAATCTTGTTCCCTCTTCCCCGGGAGATTATTAAATCGGAAATGCATCTTGCCCTCATTGTAGAATGACTGGTTGAATAAATTTTTACTCCTGTATAGCATCACAGCAGTTACACAGCGCTGCACTGTGTGGTTGCGGCACAGTTCCATCTCTTCCACCCTGATAAAGAGTATTTAGCAAAGAGAAACTATTATTAACAAACAAGAATCGATTTTTGAACATTGTGAATTGACTCAGAATTGCAGCTATAAGCATCTCAATTCTTGAATTCTTTTCTTGTTGATACAAAATGAGACAATAGATTAATCGATAGTGGAATTAATGCACTGGATGGAAAATGCTTCAACAGTTTGGTGCTCTGCCTCTTTCTGGCTTCTCATTTCTGTCCTCACTCTCTCTACTAAGTCCTTGGTCCTTTTTGTTGTTTCCAGCCCATGGCTTGTCTTGAATGCTGATGTGAGAGATGAATTATTGGGTTATGCTGCAGATGTTAGACTCTCTGCTGTGTCATGTCTACAGATTCACCTTGAAATAGACTTTTTCCTCATTCACTGTCCCCTTCTCCTTCTCCATCAGCTGAAAAGAGCTGTAAAATAAAAACAAATCCACCTAACAACTTGACAGAGGACAATGTGATTCCTTTCTCACTTTGACCTCTGTGGGTATGTGCCCACCTGCGTGTGTAGGCATGTGCGTATCAACTGATTTCTCTAAGTTGCAGGATTAGATAGACAAGGCTCCACAGTATTTTACTTATGTAACCAACTCCTTTTTTTTTTTTTTTTTTTTTCTTTTTTCCCCTGCGGGTATTTTTTTGCACTTTCCCACATATGTGGCATCATGTTGGAGGACGGAAGGAGCAACCAGGAGGAGGTCGTAAATCTCAGCTCTTATTTGTTTGGGAGACAGGTGGCCGTGCGTTGGCCGTGTAAATCGTATTGACATTGGGGAGATATTCATCTTGTTTACCCTTATAGCCGCAGCCCCTGTCCCTTTATGAAGACTTGCGCCATATGTCACAGGGTGTCGCCCTGGCTTTGTTCGCTCATAAATCTTAGCATGTGAGATGGTGGAGACCTGTTAGCACAGCACCTCTCTGGCCTGGAACCCAGGGATTCGGCTTCAGTCCTCGCCAAAAGGAGCAGTGGGGAAGGCAACTGTTAGATTACTTCCAGCCACTCTCAGAAATGTATTATCTGCACTCTGGTGTGCTCAGAAGTACACCTGGAAAACAGCACATTTTAGTTGGTTTCCTGCAGGATGGCTGCAGCGAAATCTGCCTGGTCATACACAAATGCATCCTGACTCACTATATCATGCAATGACTCTATGTGGACTGTGGCATGATTTATCATCTCCGTCATTTTCGATGTCTTGCCTCATTTCTCCTCTTCTCCCTAAATTCAGTCACCGCTTCTCCCAGTGGTACTGTTGCCTCAAGTCCTGCCCAATGAGGTTACATTTTTTGGCCACTTTGCCTTCCTCTCCCCCTGCCCTACCTCCAGCCCTCTATGCTTCTCGCTGGCAGACAGCTGCAGATCATAAAATGGTGGATCAGAGCTTATTTCCTGCCCACCCAAACTGGCGGTGGCTGGGCGGGCAGTTTGGCTGTAGGTTTGATCCCACTTTCTACTAGAAACACTATTAAATCCTACCACTGCCCTTCTTCCTTTAATAGAAAGACCGTTGATAGCCCTGATCATCCCCGTGTTAGCTTCACGCCAGGATCAACAAGGCCTGGATGCTGGAGGGTGAAATTCCTGCAGTAATAAGAAACAGCAGTCCACTCTTGTTGATGAATTTCACTGTGCTACTAACCTGGCAGTGTGTGATAATCGGCGATAACCCCAATTGTTAAGATAATAAACTAAGAGACCTTCAGTTGCAGCTCACTTTGGAATTTGATGCTTTTTTATGTATATTTATGTCAATTCCCTTGCATATTATGATATACAGGATATGCCTCCTCACAACATGATATTCTTAAACTTGTCACTAATAAACTTGTTACACCCAAACCAGCATCTCGAGAGGGATTTTCATGCGGGCCTCACATACAGTGAATTTTCCCCATTTACTGTATTTAATCATGTTTACAGAAGAAGCTTAGCTAGGCCTGTGATGGGTGAAAACAACGGATGAGCAATTCAAAGCTTGATGCTATTTTTGTTGAAGAGAAATGGCAAACGATTTCCCTCGGTTTGGCTTAGCTATAATTGTGAAAGCAATTTTGGGATGAATCCATTTACCTCTGGTACATTTAACAAGTTTCTAGGGCAGCCATGTGGCATTCACTGATTTTCCCCAACTGTTTATTCTATAATTATTTAGATATCTGTTTATTTAAAAGATCTGTATAATCCTCTTTCAACTGGAAAAAAGCAGTGAGATATGTTAACTTTTCTTTATGTGTGTGCATGCATTTGATTTTATGGCATTCAGGTGTTTTGTGTGTATCTGAGTGGGTTCACCTGCAGGTGGGTGAAATGTTGGTGCTCCTCTGCTCTCCCTTCTTTTGGCTGTGACCCAGGCAGACAGTGGTTGTGCCTGGGCCCAGGTTAATGAGTGGATTTGCTGCACTGCAGCGCACTATCCCCCCATGCTGATGTGGAGCAGCTGAGCACCACAGTGGCCCCACACTGCTGCAGAGCTATAAATCACCCACAGTCAGGCCAGACCCGAACGGAACAGCCACCGCTGGGGATGGACAAGCACACTGAGAGCGAGGCAGGGGAAGAAATGGAGGGAGGAAGCAATGCAGAGGAGGGAATGAAAGCATGAGCCCGGTGCTGCGTGCTCACCTATGTCCACACAAGATCCCCTACCATGTTCCCCCCTTAAGGCCGTCTCACTCTCTCCCTTCCACCAGTGCCAACGTAACCACTATTCACAACATCCTCTCAACCTCCAGCCCCTCCCCAGCTGCTCCCTCTAATTGCCTTTATTAACGTCTCTATGGGAGCGGCAGCTAGGAGCAATTTGCTCATTATGTACTGTATTAGCACTGGCCCTGGGGCAGGCATGGAACACAGAGGGATGCCTGGCTTAGACTCCTGCTCTCCTCTGCTCCACTCTGCCTTTACCAGGACCCCTACCTCCATCCTGTAGGTCGACCATAGACTCGTTGGCCCTTAACAGCAGCCAGTGTAAAGCACAGCTACAACTGTAAAAGATAAAGCTTATGGTGAAAGTGTGGGAGTGTTATTGTTTGACTTAACACATACAGAAGTTAAAAACATTCCTGTAGGAACTGAAGGTGCACGTATGGGTGACAACTTAAAGGAAAAAGCAGCATAAAGTGGGCCACCATAAACCTTCTGATCAGCTTCAACACACTGGCATAGATTCTACAAATATCTGGAACATTAAGACCATTTTTCCAAAAGATATTCCCTCATTTGGTGCTTTAATGTATTAATATTACTTTACATTCAGAAGTATAATTATTTTATCAATGTGGTTCACTCTCAGGTTTGAATTACAATTTGACTTCTGGTTGTTCTCAGAACACAAAAGCAAACAACTGGCCCGTGTATGAATATTCCTCCTGAATTCAGACGTTATGTTTAATTCATGACTGTTTGCATCCCTCATTCTGAATCCACCCTGTTGGCGTTTCACAGATACAGTCAATCCCAATTATTTCGCCTGAGAAGTTGCTGTTAGTCTGGCCTGTTTACTTTAGACAGGCTGACAAGTTAGGGTTGAGTCAGTTAATCCTACAATGATGTTCCTAGTTTGCTTGCGTTATGCGGCACAAGAAGTCTCAAAATTGTGAAGGTCGATTATATGTCTGTGTTTGAGTTTCAATTTTAGACCTACAGATAAATAAATCAAAGTTGCTCTTGATGACTACCTTTCAGATTAATATAGGACCACTGTCGAGAGTCAGTCCTCTCGAAGGGGCTTTTTGGCAGATGGAGTGGAATGGATTATTTGATTTATGGAAGCCTGTTGTCCTTGTTATTGGAATGAATGTACAGCCTGCACACATGAGAATTCAAAGTGCGAGTCTCTCTGCGTATAGCTGCTGCATAGCAGAGTGAAATAAAATGGAATAGTCGTTTCCTTTTTTGTCAAGTTTGATGTGTGATATATCATCAAACTATCATTTCTATGCTGCACGTTGATGTTTTTTCATGACTCTACTTGACCTAAGTTTGCAGTGATTTCATTTATCTTCATCTCCGATTGTGTAATTCTCAACTTGACAGTCTTCTCATGACATCTGGAGTCAGCTAGTTAAAATTATGGTTGTGGATGGTGTAGAAATCTGCCACTCGCAAACCTCGCTACACCCCGGTGCAATTTTTTTGTTTTGAATTCCCACCCTCACAAGTGCTGGATTGGTGTAGAAATGTATTCTCACCTTGTCTCCATAACAACAGGTTGCTCAATTTAGCTTACCTGTTGCTCTGATACCACCACTTTCAGTAGTTGCTACCAATACTAAACAATCTAACACCTGACAATGCTGCGTCTGTTTGTCGTGGCAAACATCTCACCTTCTCCGCTTTGCTAAAAATCCAACAGGTTCAGCATTTTTTAACGTGAGGGCCACATTCTTGCTGCCTTCTGTGTGTTTTCTTCAGTTTTCTATCAAAAAGACACGGTGGTAGTTGAGGGGAAAACGCATGCTACAGTCAGTTCAGGGCAAATATGCTGTGTTTTCAGTCAATATACAGCACCATAGGATCTGTGGTGAATAAGGGTTTTTTTTTTTTTTAATCTGCAGGGCCCCCGCAGCAGGAGCCTCCTGGTCCAGCACTGGAGCCTCAGGAGAAAGCCAACCTGCTTCCACCACCGCTGCCTCTGAAAAAGACAAACCAGAGGAGAGGTGAGACAGTGTCTCCCTCTCTTTCAACTATTTTCCTATTTTCCTCCCAACTGGATTTAATAATTGCAGTTGACTACTTTTTTTCCCCTCTCTTTATCTCTGTTTCGTTTAGTCATTTTCACACTCACATATTGGCTAAATGTCACACTGGGATTCTTTCACTCTCTGTTTTCCCTCACTTGCTCCATTACTCGCTTGCTCGTCTTATCTTGCATGTTCACTCAACAGAATCACCAACTCCCTCACTCGTCTAACATCTACTTGCGGTCTTGCACATCAATATTTTCCCTGACTTTCTCTTAATGCAACACAAGTATTGCCTGTAGCAGGGGCAGCAACCTTCTCCCCTTTCAGTCGAGCCCCAGATACACACACAGGTATCTGAGCGAAGCGGATGGGACCGCGTATTCAGGCTGCCCATTACACTGATCTATTGCTCTCCTTGCTTGAGACTAAATGATGAATTCATTTTCAGTGCTTTCAGATGTTACCGAGGAAATTGTAAACAGCTCGGTCATTCTGTGGGCAATCCATTAATGTTACTTTCATAGAAATACAAATCCTCATTTTTTCCAAATGCGGTTCCACGAGAGTGCATTCTTCCAATTCTGAATTCAGAAACTCGGCTGAACATTGTTGTATTGACAACTCTGTGACCACAAACTTTTTTTTTCAGTTTGTATATCTTCTTTCTCCTCTCTCATCCTACATTGTTGCTGCTCGGCAGAAAGAATATGAAATATTTATCAGGGCATCGTGTGTTGAAGGCACAATTTCTACATGGTAATGTTGCTGGCATTTGAGATAGCGGTTTGCAATGGTGGGCAAAACAACCTTTCTGTGGAAAACGTTTTTTATGTTTTCTGAAGCGCAATGGCATAAATACGCCTTTTTACTAACGTTTTCAGAGCGATGAATATGGCTTCTTTGACGGCGCTCTTTTACATCAAACTGATTTAAAATGCAGCTTCTAAGCTCACAAATGTGGATTTAAAAGCTGAAGCACCGTGGAGAGAGATTTCTATTCTGCCTCTGTTTGTGTGCAAACCTACTTTAGAATCCCCCCGCCACTTTTTAATTATCTCACCATAGATGGTTGTCTGCTGTGCGGACCTGATGTGTGCCTGCCTTTTCGGCTGCACAAAACCTGCTACAAACAGCGCTGCATCTCATTGTGTTTGTGCATGTACACGTGTGCACGTGGGTCTGTTTTGACTCACACGCTACTCTGTCTAGACTGGAGATAGGGCAAGACAAGAGTGTGTAGCGGCCCGGATTCTCTCTTAGTACTTTTGCTTATATTCCAGCCTGGCCCATTTCTGCTGTTTCAGGCTAGTGAGTGAATGAACAAGCAGGCCTCGGGCCCAGATTGAACTGTGCGGTAATCCTCCCCAAAGCTCCGCCAGCTCACTGATTGCCTTCATTTTTCAGTGTCACCAGCAGGAAAGCCAAGGCAGTGTACCCATGTGAGGCTGAGCACGACTCTGAGCTCTCCTTCCAGGTCGGCGCAATATTCAATGCCGGTAAGTGTTATCGCCTACACCAGTCGCTCACTCAGAACCAGCCCTGGCATATTGGATTTGGAGGAAAACCGAACACCCAATCTGATCTTCAATCGAATAGAGAGATGAGACGAGGAGAAGGAGAACGGGGAGGGAGGGGGGCAGGAGACACAGATTTTCTCTTCAGTGTGTCTGGAAGAGGCTCGACTGAGCTTTAATCACTCTCAGAGGAAATGAGGATTTTGTAGTTGGTATTTTTTTTTTGCCTTTTTTGGTTAGACACAGATATTATAGATATGCTATGGTTTTAACTGTGGGGATGTCTTTGATAAGATCCCACAGTGCTTTGCAGTTTCTTGTTTTTGTTTTTTTCTTGCTTAAAAGGTGAGATCACATCTTTTTTGACATTGTTAGCCTCCACTGCAAATATAACCAATGCGATCCATCAGAGGTCTAATGATCAAAAATTAGGATCTAAATGTCAAAATCTGACAACTTTCATTAATGAATAAGGATAAGACAAACTGAAACCTCGCCTTAACCTCTATCTACTCTACATACAATATTTCTTGTTATGTTGCCTGCACATTAAAACATCAATATTTGATTGTTGGTTGAAAGAGTTCATGCCAGGATAAATGCCTACAATGGCAAAATGTAATTTACTAGAAAGCCGATTTCCAACTCATATTATCTGAATAATAATAAACATAAAATTAATTTTCAAAGCTAAATTAGGTTATGTTCCATAGGCCATTCTTTTTATCTGAATTTTAATTTTGAAGTTTTGCTTAGTAAAAGTGTGACTGAATGATCTCAACTTAAATCTTCGCTTCCACATGCAGAGTTTGGAAGGTTTCAGTATAGTTTTGCTCATAGTCTGTCTTTCCCTCATCTCGTGAACAGGCTTCAAATGAAGAGACAGCATTGCAACATAAATATTATACGACGAGGCTCTCCTTAACTAAACATCTGCAGTATCTAGAGGACCCTTGACATTTTGCATATTTTGCTGCACTGTTCAGTTATTTCTAAATGTATATGCCTTTTTTTTTTTTTTTTTTTTTTGGCCTGAGCTATGTGCATAACAAACGTGCAAAAGGTCAAGAGGTCTGAATGCTTGAGCAAACACTGTACATACAGTTTGTCTAAAGAAAAAAAAAATCAACATATGTCTATGTTTCCTCACTCTTAAAACTGAAAATGTAACTTTGCCTCGCTTATTTATTTTCTTAAAGGTGCAGTCTGTAATAATTGTTGGCTTGGTTTGGTTTAATTGTGTCATAAAACAATTTCTATATGACATAGTCAGTGTTAACATGGACACAACTACAACAAAACAGATAAGGTTCTTAGTTGTACTTAGTAGAGAAGTGCAGTGAATGTTGACAGAGGTTGTCCTTCCATTTAAGGACATGCATTAGCTTTATTATGTGTTGACTAAAGAATGAAATATATAATTTACGTGACGATAAAACCCCTAAAAATAGCAGTAAAAACAATCGATGTTATTGTGCTCGGATAGGAGTGGGGCTGTTTGTTTATCACCTGTCTCTCAGTTTGATGAGGACGAGCTGATGTTTAAATACCTTTAACAATGTCAGAAAACATTAATAATGCACAATGAGTTGTTTTGTTGTGGTTGCCCTTCTATTAGAGGACCTGTCAGTCAATTGAGGAGTAAAAACATGTTTGAATCCCGCTTTGAATTTTAGTGGCGGGTCAACTCTTTTGATTACACCTGTATAAAAGACTCGGCTTTTAAGTTCCTTGTTCATTTTGTGTTTAATTAACACACAATACAGTCTCGGTAAACACATTTCTTTGTGTCCTGTGACATGTTACATGAAGAAAAAAAAGAAGCATTGAATTAGTTTATGTCTTGATTTTGCCTCAGAAGTTCTAACTGACAATATATCCATGCAATAGCTGACTTGCAAATGCACTCAAAATTTTAAATTGGCTCACTTTGTTGGCAAATCATGAGTCCTGGGAGGATTTTGAGAAGGCATGCCACAGAAATGTTCTGTGCCTTGACACATCTGTCATAACTAAACGGTTTGTGAGAGCTCTGCTTTGCTGCTGAAGTTAAGCTCATGGTGAAATTCTAGAAAAATGGGATCCAAAAACAGACTTGAGATGTACAGTAGAGATAAAAATGACTCACAGTGGAGTTTAGTGTAACCTCGTAATCACTGTATCCTCTGCAGACCTGCGCTCTGTTTGCTCTGACACATGCACCATGCACGCGCTCTATACTCAACGGAGGCTCTGTGTCCTCTGTCTGTCCCCCACCCTCACCCTCCCTGTGCTGTTGTACCCCCCCCCCCCCCGGTGACGTTGTGTCCTCTTCCTGCAGTGACCCAGTCGAGAGAGCCGGGATGGCTGGAGGGGGAGCTGGAGGGAAAGAGGGGCCTCATCCCTGAAAACTATGTGGAGATGCTGTAGCCCCCCGAATGGAAAATATTTATGGACAAGCTATCACCTCCACCAGGAAAAAATATGCGGAGATGCATGTGCCTCCACTCTCCACCATAGAGCCTTTTTTATCCAATCCCCTGAATTCTCTCAAGCAAGTGATAATATGTTATTACTGGTAGAACATTGTTGATACACGAGTATATGCATTTTTAGGCAATTTTGTGATGCATGTGCAAGAAATGTTTCTTTGATTTTACTTTGGTCAAGTATACACATGGATTTCAGCATCACAGAATGGGTTTGCACTTACAATATTCTGCTGTGTACAGAGATGCTGTAGCCTCTAAACATCCAGGTAACTTTGTAGCAGCACCAGAGAATGTGTGTCTTTCTATCCAACGCCTCACGCTCTCCTCCAGTTATACATGGTATCCATGAGCTCCCCAAGTCACAGAACCATCCTCCGAAACCACAAGGATGAACGTCAGCACTCAAGTCACTGCTACCAGTTTTCGTTCAGACATTTTGCACCAAATCCAGCAGCTTTAGATCCTCTTGACAATGATGCATAGTTTGTTTTCAGCTTTTAAAAAGATTAAAGATACTGTACTTACCGTGCCTTAACCGTCAGAACACCCAGTGTAGATGTATGTACGGGTATGTGTGAAAATGAGTGTTACTGCTTTCACTTTTAAAATGTTTTTGCATTTCTTGTCCTTTAAAAAAAAAAATTGGATATTCAAAATGAGGCACATTGCTATTGTAATTTTATTTTATTTAATTGGCACATTCATTGATTGCATGACTTTTAAATTTTAACTACACTCTGTACTGTCTTGTTCTTGGTGCACTCCTTTACAGAAACAGCAAAACGCCTCTTTGATGACCGAGGAGCCTCTCATGTTTAACACTAGCGTCAGACAGAGTCAGACAGAGTCAGCCAGAGGCAACTTTAAACAGATAGTGATTGAAACCAAGTGTTTTTCCTGTTAAACGTTCTGTTTATTGTTTGTTTTTTAAGCTTATTTTTAACGTTGCTCAGTTTGTTTTCTGAGTATAGAAATGAGACACTCCCACAAAGTTGAAATTTTAAGTTGAGCTTTATTTTATCTTCAGTGATTGGAAATCCGTTTTATCATCAGTAACACCACAAAATGCAGTATTTCAAAGTTTTACATCCAGTCAGTGTATATAACCTAAACATTGAAAGAGTTTTAAGTGCCAAGTATGTTTTACAGGTCTCCGTTAAGTGATGGACATGTTTTCACTCGGATTGGTTTTAGTATGTTCACATGTCCTATTACAATTCATCCCTCAGCTGTTCAACATGACACTTTAATTTCTCTGAAAGCTTTGGTTCAGCAGACTGTGTTTTCAGTTGCGCTAATTTAAGACATTGATTTATGATGTTTGTAAAGGGCCTTGTCTTCTTTCATTTTTATATACCTTTGGGTATCCTCTTGATCAATGTTAAACAAATAAAGATTTTTTTTTGTTCTTTACTGTATTATGTATTCTTGGATGAAATAAATGTGGTTAATGCTGATTTAAAACAGATTGAAGTCTTATCAAAGCATTTATTTAATAGTCAAACAATCTTATCCCAGGCACTGATTTTATGTACAGTAGTTCCATTAAACTCATTAGACAGCGAGACATTTGTTTTCCAAAATTAGACTGAAATATCAACTCCGGGGACGCAAGAAAATTAAGGAAAGCACTGCAGCCGCTTTTATGGGCACATTTTGTTGACTGAGAGATATAATAACTGTCAAATTTGTATTTGGGGAAATTCACCAATGTGAAATCCAGCACTCTGTCTAATTTTGTGATGACTCATCTATTGTGTCATTGAGAAGGCCCACAGTTTCCCACAGAGTCTAAGAATAAAGTGACTGGTGAAATGAGGATTCATTCTGCAGCCTGCACAGTTACAGTGGGCCATGTAGTGTAATGTTAGCCTTCCTCTTTATATTGACCTGCGCTGGTCCATCAGACTAAAAGCCACTTCCAAAATAACTTTCCAAAAGAGGATTTAAAAATAGATGCTAATCTTTCACAGAGGAAAACACACACTAATTTACCTCCCTGATCCATTAACATCTCAGCCTCACGCATGTTAATTCTTAGACTACATCTGTGTAATTAATTAACACGCCAAATGGCCTCCAGACCGGGAGTGTTGGCCTCAGTTATATAATTACCGACAGTCCACCACCACCACACTTAGACCTCCAGTTAGTGTGTGGCTGCGCTATTTAGAAGCATAAACACACACATTTAGTCTGCTTTGAAAATACCAAAGGTTGGAGCCGTGGTTTCAGTGCGACACATATGTCCAGCAGCTCCCCGAAGCAATGCAATGATTACATAATGAAATGAGGCAGAGCTAATGAGATGGGCAAAAATATTTCCCCCTACTATCACCCCCACAACCATCCACCACCACCACTATCCACCCCCGGGGCCCTTCATCATCATCATCTTCCCTCTGCCAGAATACTGCTGAATCATAGAGACATCCACCCTGCCTGCCTCTCACTCTGCTTTGGACTGTCTGTCAGAGAGCGTGCCATGTTGCTCTATCTGCCTTCCTTTTTCTTCTGCCTACCTGTCTGCGTCTCAGGAGGATTTTAAAATCTGTCTCTCTCCTCCTCTTCTCTCCTCTCCTCCTTGCCTTCATTCATTTTCCTTTTTCCTCTTCTGCTCCTCAGTCAGCGCTCCACTTCTTCTTTGGTCTAAATGTAATTTGTTTATCCACTTATTTATCTTTCCTCCTAAATGTGTGAATATGACTCAGTGAACATTTGTAATCTGCCTGTGTGTTGTCTTAAAGCAGTAGTTTTCAACTGTTTCCTTGTGAAGGACCTCTGAATTGATACACATTAGGTCACTGACCTCCATTTGATAAGATCTGGCTTCAGGAACCTCCATCTGAAAATATTTTGGTTGTTAGATATGATTAAGATCTGAATTCTTTACTTGTCAGCTACAGTTGAGGAGATTACCGTGGAGGAAGTTAAACCTATGATCATAATAGTCACTATTATGACAAAGGCCATAGGTTCTTTTTCAACATTTGAGGACACACACATGAAGTGAAGGTTCAGGGGGTCCTCCTCCAAGAAAATCTGTGCATTAAACACATAATTTCCTGCATTCTTGTGTGCCTTTTCTGCATCAGTATATGGAAATGTCATGCAAATGTCATGGTACTTTTGTTTCAACTTGGCATAGTTGCTTCATCTTTCTGTTTTATGGCAGATAACAGACATTGTAGACAACCATTGCTTTTAAGGTTGCATGTCCTCCTAAGACCCTGTGTCCTCATTTGAGGACTTCACATGTCAGCTTTACTTTGGGTGCACTTCATTCTACTTAACTTTGACCTATTGTCCTTATTGATGGACACTTTTTTGTCCCATCTATTGGCCCTGGTGGAGCAATGAAAAGACAATCAAACTGGACTATATAGAGGAAGTACAAGATTTCCATCAGTGGGGCATCAGTAGCATAGTGCCGGTGCCCCATGTACAGAGGTGATGCCTCGCTGCAGTGGTTGCGGGTTCGACTCCGGCTTGTGACCATTCGCTGCATGTCACCCCCCGCTCTCTCTCTCTCACCACATTTCACTCTGTCCTGTACATTTAAGGCAAGAGCCCAGAAAAATTATCCAAAAAAAAAGAAAAGATTTCCATCGGTGAACATGTGGAAGGATCATTTGCACAATACACTAATCCATGTAAAAACAAGATGGCAGTCACCTCTGCCAAGTCAATCTTTAGCTAATCTCAACACTAAATGGACAAAGTCCAAAACCTGCTCATGTTTTATTGATGAAAACTTGTTTATTTATGATAAATAATGTTTGTAGTTTGATACGGACACTTAATTTGGAAGTACTCATTTGAGGGCTTAATTATTGTTGACGATGTTTAGTTTTTTATACTTATCAGGTCCTATTGATCCCAAATAGCTAGAAAGAAATTAGAAATGCAAAACCAAACTAAAGAGCGGGTCATAAGAGGATATTGCAGCCCCTCTACTTTACCAAAGGCAGTGTTGCATCTGTGAGTGGAGTTCTAGCATTTTGTCAAAGTAAGGGTTAATGGGGTAATGCTTACACATGCACACACCCCACCTCCTCCACGCCTTGAAAATCTATGCTTATGCTTTTGACTCTTACTTTGGCACCTACAGTACATTGTGGTCACATGTATAGTGAATTAAATAAACCTGCCTGGAACTCCCCAAGGACCCCTGGGGGTCACTGAATCCTTGGTAAAGGACCACTGTCTTAAAGGAATACTTCACCTGCAAACTAATCATTTGTGTATTGATAATACACACCGTGTTACTTTGACTTTGTGAAGAAAACTTTGCTTTTCTCACATGCCTCCACAATAAACAAAGAATATAAAACAGAAAGGATCCACGTTAAACAGCCAAACCAAACATCTGTTTACAAACTCTCCCATATCTTGCGCAGTATAATCCAAGTTTAATTTATCCAGTTATTTGCTCAGTACTTCCCAAATGTGCATTTTCAATGAAACCTGACTTATTCAAAACACTTCCACATGAACAGTCTCACACAGCGAGGAGTAGCGCAACTCGGGAAGTGCTGGCATTTGAATGTACACACTCTCCCAGGTGCACTTTTCATATACGGAGGTGCTTTAAGTGGAAATAGTAGTAACAGTTGAGCGAAAATCCATGTGTATGGGAAGTATTAAGCATACAATTGGCTAAATGAGACCTGTAATATACTGCACGAGTTGTGTGAGTGTTACAGTTTTCTCATTCTGTGTTGACTGTGGTGGCATGTTAGAAAAACAAACTTCATGCATTCAACGTAACGGGCTGATTAAATTAACTGCAAAACATAATTTTGTGGGCGAAGTATTCCTTTAATATCA